TCCCCCATCTCCAAGCCCCCCAGCCTGCCTTCCCACAGCCCGCCATGCCCCATCACCCCATCACCTTCCCTGCAGCCAGCGGTGACCCCCCACCTCCGCGCCAGCGCTCCCTGCAAAACACCCCCCTCAACACGCCCGGGGCCTGGCGCTCGCTGCCACGTGTTGCAGTTAATTAAAGGAGGGTAACGCAGCTGCCTCCCGTCTGTTTTAAGCCTGGTACTCGCACAGGTCAAGCACGTTGTCTGGCAGAGAGACTTTCTCCTGTCAGAAAGGTATTTAATGCCTATTAAGCGGTCAGGTGAGGCCTCCCTGCCAGCCAAGGCCAGCGCCAGCACTGAGACCTGACTGTGTTTCTGCCCACTGTCATGGCGCACGCCTCCTCCCAGGGGAAAGGGCCCATCATGGGGGGAGGCCTTTCCCCACAGCACGCTGTACGTGGATCACAAACCCATGAACATCCATAAACAGGCATGTGCTGCAATGCAGCCAGAGGGTACATCTGGTTGTCTCGTGAGGCAGAGATTTCTGGGCTGCAAACAGAGGGGTTCACCCCTCACTGGCCATATTGCCTGGCAGACTATTAGGTAGCATCAATTTCCTCGCATGTTGTAGGGGACCTACAAAAAAGCTGGAGAGGGACATTTTTCAAGGGCAGTTAATGACAAAAGAAGGGGAAATGGGTTTAAGTTGAAAGAGGGGAGGTTTAGATTAGATATAAGGAAGAAATTCTTCACTGTGAGGGTGGTCAGACACTGGAACAGGTTGCCCAGAGAAGCTGTGGATGCCCCCTCCCTGGAAGTGTTTAAGGCCAGGCTGGATGAGGCTTTGAGCAACCTGGTCTAGTGGAAGGTGTCCCTGCTGATGGCAGGGGGGTTGAAACTGGATGGTCTTTAAGGTCCCTTCCAACCCAAACCATTCTATGATTCTATGATCCAGTGTGTTAAGAGTAACACACCCGTATTCAGTTACTGTGCAACAACCAAGTTAAGTCCATATGGTCAAAGAGCTCCTTTTCTGGTTTGAGGGGATTTTTTTTCCCCCGCGCAGCATCTGACTTGTTGTTTTTCAGTATATTAGACAGAACACAGGTCCTGGAAAGGCAGGGAAGGGGTATGAACAAAGCACTGTCACCCAGCACTGTTTGAACCACCAAAAGCCACATCCTCAGCAATACACAGCATTGAAGTAAGGAGCAGGCAGAGTCTTCCCCAGCACTACAGCTGTAGAAAGAACTTTCTCACTAGAGCTGGTTAGAAAAAAAAGTTTCTGGTTCATAGAAGAAGTTGTTTTCTTGAAATTTCCCCTGACCAGAGACTACCTTGACCCTGCAGCTGCTTAGTGAGACTGATGCCTTTGTCAGCAGGGAGAGGAAAAAATGTCTTTATTCAAAGAGCAGCTGCAAGGGAACTTCTCCCTGAGGCCACCCAGCCACAGGCTCCTGATGAAGTGGGAGCCCTCCGGCGACATCCGCGGAGGGGGCACCCTGCGGCGTGCCTACTCCCAGCACAGACCTCTGCAAGGAGCCCGGGTAGCAGTTCCTCCCTCCCTGTCTGCTTGGCTGCCGTTTTTCCCAAGGCTTCACTGATTTATTCTTTTGTCCAAAAGAAAAAAAAAAAAAAAAAAAGAAGAAAAATTAGCTCAGTCACTCTGCATTTCCTGTGAAACTTTTGACCAACTCCAGTCCCCAGGGCTAAGCGCCATGGACTGGATCAAATGAGGCAAGTGTTCCTGTGGCTCTTCCTATCCCCTTGGCAGCACAGGCGAGCAACTATCCCAGCCAGCTAGGGGCTGTTTTTGGCCACTGCTCCCCTGATGACCCTCTGGGATCCCTGGCTGTACCCTGCACACACGCTGCCTTTCAGCACTGGCAGCCCGCAGCAGTGGAGGGAGATAACGAAGGTTTGCATGCCACTGCCAGCGGGGAAGAGTTGTGTGCTTGCACTCGCTGGCACTTTATTGCTGGTTTAGGGAAGGCAGCCTACCCAGAGCAGCCGTGCTATGCTGTGCAGGTGGACTGAATTCACTGGTCCCCAGACAAGGGTTCTTTCTGTAAGTGGGTCTCACCACTGATGGAAATAGCAGCAGATGTAGCAATGTGCTGCCATTCTGCCTGAGCGCTCGTGATTCCGTCTCCAGCAGCCTCAGCCTGTGGGAAGGAGCTCCCTGGGTTGCCTGTCTACAAGTACACCCATCTGCTCAAAACTGGACTTCTAGAATTTGCAACAGAGCCAAAACTGTAACATTTTGAAATAATCCCAGGCTTTCATGTTTAAAAAGCAAAACGGTGAGAGAAAGGGAGTGTCCAGCCTCCGTACTCAAGCGGGGCTCCAAGGAGTTGCTTTAAGAGCTGTGTTTCGGTGCTGGATTCAGCCCAGGGATTTCTTTAGACAGCACAGGGTCTTTTCAGAAGGTACTTCTTGCTGCAGGATAATATAATGGACCCTTAATCAGTGCACATGACAAGACCATTTATCATTTGCAAGACAAATGTGAAGAGAATTGTGCTTTTGTTTTGCATTTTCTCCTACCTCTTTTGGAAATCCCTTTTCCACCACTTTTCATGTGTGATCTCCAGGATTTCTTCCCCAGGGGGAACATGTGTGTGGGGATAAGTGCTCATGACAGCGCTACATCTGCACCTCACATAAAATGTTCTCAGCTTCCTTCCCTGTACTGTCTAGAGACCGCATCACAGAGATGTGTTTTGAAGGAGCCAAATTTTGTAACTGATTTTTAAATCCCATCTAAAACTTCTGGCTTCCCCTTGGAAAATGCATCCATACAGGGCAAGCACTGGGAATGCTTTGTCCTGTAGCTTGACTTACTCTGCTCCAGTGTTTGCACAGCAGCCCACACATGAATAAGGAAGCTGGCAAAAACCCTTTACAATTTGTAAGCATCTCACATCTACCTTAAGAAAATAATTATGTAGATTCTCTGCTCCCCTGGTGAGGTTTTGGAAGAAAACTAGAGAGATACATAACAAAAAAATGCTCAAGGCTGCCATTTTGCACCATAACTCCTCTTCTCTCTGCAGTTGCCGGCTGCATTACCCTGTCGGTCTGATAACTCTGCTTTGCTCCTGCTGCTTCAAATAGACACTGGCCACCATTTAGACAGTTTGGCAAATGGACTAGCCATGAACTTCTCCTGGATCAATGCACCAGAGTGGAATATAGCAGCACAGGGCCTACAGGTCAGCTGCAGCTGATCATCAGCAGTTGAATCAAGTACCCAAACGAGTACAGCCAGATATCCAGAATGAAGATATTGAATAAGCAGGACAGCATCTTGCCTGTATCATCACAATCATATCCCCCAAAGAAATTGCTTATAACAATGCTAGACAAAAAACCATTAATCTGGAAATGGGATTTTTAAGTGGAGGGTATCCCTGTAATCAAGCATAAATCAAAACCTTTCTCTTTCCTCTCCTAATATGTGGCATTTTTGACTGGGTTCCTATACCTCTCTGGCTTTTCCCTTTCCCAGTTCCAACAGCGATCTTTGTGGTCACTAGCACAAAGAAAACAAAACTGAGGTCTCTGCTTGTCTACAGAGTTATGCCCTTCCAAGGTAGTTTTTTATCACTTACATGCTACCCTCCAGATAAGTCTGATTTTTACTATTATTTTCTAGGAAAGTGACTGAATACTGATTGTACTATTGTGCATTCCCTCGAGTTCCCTGAACCACAGCTTGTCCATGCAAACAATGAGTTCAGTAAACAAATGAGCTGTGAAATGATTGCATGTGAATGACATGTACTTAATAAATGGTGCTATATTATGTCCTTGAGCATGCTGATAGTTCAATGAGAGGGAAAGAAAAGGGAGAATATTCTCCTACTTGCACTGCGTTAGGTTCTCACAGCTACGTGGAATGAAGTGCATTGCTGCATAAACAGGCAATCAAACTTTTTGCCTTATGGCTCTCATAATTACATACAGAAGGGGAATATAGGATTTTCTGTGACGCATGCAGAAATAACCTTTGATTACAAAATTGATTGGCAAAAAGAAGTGACAGATCTTCAATACTTAAAAAAAAATTAAATCAATTGTTCCAGCAAAACTTTTCAATGTTTCTCTTTCTCTCTCCTGCATTCTCACTTTGGCTGCTCTGTAGCTAGCAATGCCTCTCAGAGCTCCTTAATGCTCTGCATGAACTTTCAAATTAAAACCTTTTATCTTAATGGGAATTCTAATCCTACTGGGATGTGTTTGCCTAGCTGTGTTTATCATCCCATCACGGGAGGGATTTTTTTTGCTCAGGATTTCCTTTGATTCCTGTTCTACAGCAGAGAAGTGAAGGCACCAGAACAGCTGACTGCTGCTAACAATCGTGGAAAAGCTGAGACATTATAGCCGTTCTGTGAATTAAAATACTGTAGCTATTATCTAAAATTGGCAGCAGAGAATTCCTATGGGTTTTCAAGATATATCGCTTTGGCAGCACCTGCATATGTGAGAACCGGGGCAGACTGTAAGAGCTTGCTGGCTGACTGGATAACCCCACTGTTAAAGCCCTTTTTATTTTGCACAATTGTGAAACGAGATCCTTCGACTTTCGCCATGGTAACACCCCTGTTGTTTTCCTTTGTTGACAGTGGAAGGCCTGAAAGTAGTAGAGATTGAGAAATGCAAGAGCGACATTAAAAAGATGAGGGAGGAAATGGCAGCAAGAAGCAGCAGGTAAGTTCTGCTTTGGACCTAACCAAAGATATAAGCATCTGGTTGCAAATTTCTGCAGAATTGAGTTACCTTCTGGGTGTTTGAGTAAAGGAGCAAGGAAACCAATAACCATTAAGGACAGTGGCTTTAATTTAACGTTTGAAGAACTATAGTCATTCATCAGTTAAAACAGCCCAGACCATGGGAACAGAGAAAAAAGTCTTGCAGCAGAGAGTTATTTTTCACTGTACAGAATGAGAATTTTTCATCCAGATTTACTGGGAGAGAGGGAATGGGAAAAAAACTTCTACATAGTACGGCATTTGGTGGGGAAGAAGCTAATACTCAAATCAGCTCCAATATATTCTGGAAAAATAACAAAAAAAAAAAGTAGCAACTCTTCTAATGATGATCTCTTGCTATTATAAAATATCCATTTCAAATTCAGCAAGAAATTGGGAATTTACTTTCTAATTCAAGGGCTCACTGTGATTGTGAAGCTTGGTTTCGCTGTAATTAAAACAACAGCAGAAAAATTTGCATTTTGCACGGTACGTGGTCTCAGTGGGAAACTCTGTCCTCTGTGTCACTGAAATACCCCATTAGGACAAACAAATCATCACTGTGAGATTACCAACACTTCTGGGAAGGTTACTGAAGAGGGATATACTGTGTTGCTCAAAGTGTGGGTGAAGGGGTTTTTCTCAGCAAATGTAACTATGCTATCTTGACAGCCTCTCTCTTTTTCTTCATTTGGGGTCAAATTTAATCAAAGCTATTTCCTATTGAGGGCAATGGGAGGTTTGCTAAAAGAATTAGGCTTTATAATCACTCACATTTATAAATTTTGCTATCCAGATATGTCAGGAGGCGCAGCGTTAATACATTCCTATTAAGTGTAAGGCCAAAGTCAGCTGTGATTGTAGCATAAATGCTGAGTAACATTATTAACCTCAGATCTTCTCCAGATTTATACCAGTAGGATGGATTGCATTTTTCCCTGTGACTTGCATAATTTCTTGTTCAGGTGTGTGAGGAAATCTCATTAGAAAAATCAGAGCTCAAGTTGGCAGCAAACGCAAAAACATGTACGCTGATTTGTTCTGGGTGTGATGCGAATAACGTGTGTGCCCGTGCATGTGTCTTTACTTTTCCTCAACAGTTGTAGGGAGATGGCAGAGCTGCAATTATGAGCATAGTGATGCACAGGCAGATAAGGAATTAAAACCAAAAAAAGAAGTTATGTCAACTTCACATTCACCCAGTTGCCACCACAGACATCAGGAAGTACGAGACTGTCCCAGCAGCAGCCATGACTCATTCCTGTCACAGATTTTGTCACCTTACAATCTATATTTTGTAGTATAAACAGCAACCTGTTAACAAGAAAAACAGGAATGAGGAGTGCTATGTCTGCCCAGTGCAGCCAGCTCCAGCTGAGGTGTAATCTTCACCGAGGGCTTGTAGTGAGATCTGACAGCCGCCAAAAGCCAGAGACCAGCATGGAGCATCATGCTGGGAAGCTGTGGTAAAAACCAGTGCAGCGCTCAGCAGCAGGCAGTGCTGGGTACAGATGCCCAGGTTAACTTGCTCTGAGCTCACACTGCACAGCTGCTTTTGCTAAAGCAGGAGCCTAACTTGTTCTGCTTAGCATCCCTTTGTGCCATATCCATGTGGCAGTTGCCTGGTGCAGCTCTTCTTAGTTGCCTTGAGGTGGGTGTTTCTCCTCCCAGCTGCATGAAAGCTCCTCCACCTTGCACAGAATTCTGCCCGTGACTATCTGTACTCTAAGGGTTTGGGTCTGGCTAATGTGGCCAGGTTGCTGTATAACCAGGGGTGGTTACAAGTCACCTCTTTTTGTTATAAGAGTGAGGAGAGGATGCTCCTTGGTGGATGGCCATTAAGGACCACATTTGGAGCTGCTGAGGAATAAGTAGTTGTTTCTCTATTTCTGAGTGACTGCAGCTCCACAGGAGCCATGCCATTAGCCCACGGTGACACCAGCCTAGGGCTGCTTCACCCCAGAGCAGCTGAGCAAGCCCTCTCCCATTGGCGTGAGATACGTGCATGTTGTGGGGGGAACAGAGACATCCCCCCAAAAGTGGAAATGGTTTTGCTCCTATTTAGACTTGTCATCCCTTGTGCAATGTCATTTGCTAGATAATGTGTTACAGATGCAATTAGAGATCACATCTAAAGTTAATGAATGTATATAAGAATGTGTGGGTGTGTATATTCCTTCAGTAATATCATGGTGTACACAGTTGTATTCTTGTATGTTTACATATTCTTACATTTGCTGTTACATTACCAAATGACAGAGTAAAGGTGAACAGCTAGGTTTATAAAAGTCACCACACAGAGTGGATTGTGCATCTCTCCTCTCCTCTCCTCTAGCGCAGGTGTACACAGTTGTATTCTTGTATGTTTACATATTCTTACATTTGCTGTTACATTACCAAATGACAGAGTAAAGGTGAACAGCTAGGTTTATAAAAGTCACCACACAGAGTGGATTGTGCATCTCTCTTCTCCTCTCCTCTCCTCTCCTCTCCTCTCCAGAAGAGCAAAGCAGCTCTGCCTGCATCCCCTCAAATTGCCGTTTTTGCCAGTCTGCTTTTCACACTCACCACTGGCAGATGCTAATAACATTATAGTGTCATTTAAAATCATGATCATTTGCAGATACAGTTTTACATTTGTAAAGGTCTGATGCATCTTGGCTCTGGTGTGTTTCCCAGCATGGTAGGATGAAGGCTTCACTGTCTTACTACAGCTGGGAATTACAGCTAGTTGGCTGAACCTCAGCTAACCCTGGCAGGCAGCTCCAATTAGGGCAAGGAATGCCCCAATCTCACTATTTTTATCCTACTAATACCCCTCACAGTGGAGTTTTGAGGAGACAGCTTTAGAAACAATTAAGACAGCTTTTCACCAACTGAGAATCTCCTTATACAGGGCAGGAAAAGGCAGTTGGTTGAAGCCAACTGACCACCATGAACTATAAGATGACATCACTTTCACAGGATTCAGACGACACCATCAGAAATGATAACAAACATCAGTGTTAACAGGAGAAAAGAGGCGAGACCCAGACCAATTCCCAACAGAGAAGAGAAGAGAAGAGAAGAGAAGAGAAGAGAAGAGAAGAGAAGAGAAGAGAAGAGAAGAGAAGAGAAGAGAAGCACTAAACAGAGATGCAGCACAGAATATATGAATTTTATTTTAAAAGGGACAAAGAAAGTTAATGGAATACTTTGTTTGGCTTCTTTTAGGGGGTTTCTTTTATGTTCATTTTGCAGGGGGCTTGAAAAATGAGACAGGATAATCCAGTTGTGAGGACTACAGGGATAAATGCAAAATGCAAACAGATCATCCTCACATGAGAGTTATTAAAGTCCATGTGACCAGCTACCTGGGAAACACATGTTGAGTTAAAGTATCGCAATTGACATGGGTGATACCACAGAGCTCTTAGTTTTATTGTGTCCCCCACAGCTGTAAGGCAAGAAACTGCCCTCACACTGCAATGCAGGAACTTAGGCATTCTGCAAAGGCTGGTGTGCACCTTCCACCATCATAGTCCTCTGCTCAGTTGGGATAGCATCAGCTTGGCTCCTCCACACGCAGAGGAAGGAAGAGTAGGTAACTGGCAGTGGGTGGTGCTGTTAATAACAAGGCAAGTGTTAATTCCCTGTAATTGCTGGCAGCGGTTCCCTTCCTTCAGGACCAGGGAGCCAAGCAGACTACATCTGCCGAGCCTGTGCCTCACTGCTGTTGTCCTGCCTGAAGAGCAGCAGGCAAGATGGTCATGCCATCAAATTGGATGGTCTTACCCAAGCTTTTACGAGGCCTGGAGCTGGGCTGCAATAAGCCATGGGCTCAGCAAGTGCCTACTAGTAAATAAGCACAGGCATGCCAGTGTCCATACCCAGCGTGGCCCCTGGCAGAGCTCTGCCACCCTTGAACAACTAGACCTGCCATGGACAGCAAGCTGCCAGCTGAAAGGAAAGTTACTTGGTTTAAATTGAAGTGATTGGGTATCCATGGATTCTTGTCTGAAGACAGATGCTCCTCACTTGAATTCAAATAGATGGAGAAGGGGTGACAGGGGTGTTGCACAGGGGGAGAAAATCCTGAAGAGGATCACACTTCTAAAACATCTGAGCAACACCACATTAGAAAGGAAGAGGCTGAGGAGTGGGGTAATTCTCCGAGCGATGCTTACTGAGAGACCAGAGTACTCCTGGCATTTATTGAGTCACTGTTGTTCTGTTCCCACAATGTTGAAAGCTGAATATTTTGTTTCAGGACTAACTGTCCCTGCAAGTACAGCTTTTTGGATGAAAACAAGAGGCCAACTCCCCGGCGGGATGTACCATCCTACCCAAAGGTACCACACAATGTTTGCTCTTCCCAGAATCCTACCACACACTTGCCGTCCTGACAAGCGCTGGTTTACAATGCACAACTCCCCAGCCATCTATCTCCTAGTTATTCTAAATCCAGGGCCTTATCCAAAATCCCTGGAGGCCAATGGAAAAAGCTGTCATTTCCTGCAGTGACTTAAACTTGGATCCTCGGTAGTCTTTAATACTTGAAAGCTCATTAGTGTTTGAAATGTTAATGAACATTTCGCATTTGTCAACATTTAATGCTCTTTTGTCTAGTCATATTTGTTTATTCTCCATGCCCATAGCCAACAATCAAAAACAGCCTATAACATATTCTAATTGAAAATAGTGATACTGCCTGTTTTCTCCTAATGGATTATTTTTTAATTTGAAAAGTAATTTACAGGGATGCTTCACCTAGGGAAACAACGAGAAAGTGCGACATTGGATTCTCTCCAGAATGATTCATTGTCCCTGTGAAAATGAGTTAGTGTATTTGCTAGAGAAAACAGTAATGCTTGAAGAAAAATGTCTACTGGGCAAGTACAAGTACAAATCCACAGTGATGAATGAACCTAAAACCATGAAGCACACAGGATGTTTGGTCCTAGCACCAGCAGTCTTTGCCCACGGGAATTATTCAAAGCTACCAGGTTATGTCTGCTCAGTGCCCAGCTCACATCTTGACAAAACACCAGTTCACACGTGCAAATCAGTTTACCAGTGGGCATTTGCTTGCACACATCAAAGCTGGCTCAGCCACTCTGAAGTCCATGTGGTCCTGTGTGGTGCAGGTATATGATATAGACATGCATCCTTGCATATTTGTCTTCAGAGCCTTACAGAGCAACAAATTATAACTTCTGCTGTGTATTCTGCACAGCCTTGCAAATGTGATCTCCAGGTCTCTGAAGCAGACATCATGAGACTTACATTTCTTTTAATTAACTTTTGCCCAAGAGCCTTGTGCTTCTGACACTAACATGTTTTGGCAAAAAGTATCAGTTCTAAACCAGTTTTTCCCTTGATAAGTACATATGTCAGATCAAACTTTGATGTACTGCTATGCAACAAGTGCTATGAGGGGTTGTTCTGACTGACTGCAGAGTAAACTGGTAGTCTGTATTTCTGTGTTATCCCTAGACCAAAGCTCACAGGAGTTTTGGTTTTTGGAGTTTGGGTTCTGTTTGAGAGATTTGCGAAATTTGTTATCAGTTGTCAGGTGCCGGATTTGTCCGGTGTCAGTGAGGCTGGGAAGTTGGGAGCACGCTGAAAGAAGATGTCATTGCAACACTGTTACCAAATAACAAATCTGTACTGCTAATTCAGTTCTTGTAGAACATCATATTCAATGTATATTATATATGCAGATATCGTTGCCTTCTCAAGGAGGAAAATTAATCTTTTAGTGTTATTCTTCCTTGGATTAAGTATCAACAATTTGATGGCGCAGATAGTTTCATTCACCTGCTCAGTACAGTAAGCCCAAATTAATTAGAAACAGCCATGGCAAATGGGCCAATAGAAGCTACAAGGTTTTTGTGTCCCAGAAAGACTTTGATCAATGGGGTCTTGAAAAGATGGATTGGTAGAGTCCAGACCTCCCCTGGTCTTTTAACCCTCCACATTCCTTTCTTTCATTTTGTATACAAAACTAACTGGCTGACGAGCTTGATTTTGTTTTAAGCCTCTGAGTGTAATGATAAAAAAATCACTTGAATCTTACAGGCTGACAACCAATTTGAAAATGTGTGTGTTCTTGAAAAAATACTCAAAATGAGAGCATAAATCATCTGAAAGTAAATATATCATGCCCACAGGCTAATTTAGCACTGTAAGCATAGACACATCACACCATCCAGCCATGACTGGCTGCACTGAATGTTGCTGATGCTCTGCAAGTAGCAGAACCAGTGCAGCCAGGGACGGATCTGTGCCCTTTATATTCCCACGCTGGATTTACCCACATCCTCATCCATAATACCCCTGCTCTCCTCCCTTTTCCTGTAAACCCTCCACCTCCCTGCTCTGCAGGGATCTCCACTGATCAGCAGCCTCCCAGCTGGCGCCATGGCAGGCTCCGAGCTGCCTGGGGGCTTGCTGCCTGCTAGGCATGGGCATCCTGGCATGACCATGAGCAGCTGGTGGGGAGAGCTAGGCAGGCAGAGGGAGAGATCAGTTGTTCTCTCATTGGGAAATATAGCTAAACTCTGCATGAATGGAACCCAGGGAGTTCCAAGGACATGCCAATAGCAGGTCTCATGCCAGTCTGGGGGACCCTTAATTATGCTGACTGCCCTTTTGTCTGCAGTACATGCTGTCCCAGGAGACCATTGAAGCACTTCGGAAACCAACCTTTGACGTCTGGCTGTGGGAGCCCAATGAGGTAAGGATGCCATGTTAACTGGGTTAGCACTCTTTCTGAGAGCAAACAAGGCCTGAAGAGCCCTTTGAGATGGTCTGTAGGGGTTTTTTCCGCTTCTCTGCCCCTTACTCTATACTTTTTTTATTTTCATTTTTCCTGCTGATTCTGTGATTCTGTGATTCTGTGATTCTGTGATTCTGTGATTCTGTGATTCTGTGATTCTGTGATTCTGTGATTCTGTGATTCTGTGATTCTGTGATTCTGTGATTCTGTGATTCTGTGATTCTGTGATTCTGTGATTCTGTGATTCTGTGATTCTGTGATTCTGTGATTCTGTGATTCTGTGATTCTGTGATTCTGTGATTCTGTGATTCTGTGATTCTGTGATTCTGTGATTCTGTGATTCTGTGATTCTGTGATTCTGTGATTCTGTGATTCTGTGATTCTGTGATTCTGTGATTCTGTGATTCTGTGATTCTGTGATTCTGTGATTCTGTGATTCTGTGATTCTGTGATTCTGTGATTCTGTGATTCTGTGATTCTGTGATTCTGTGATTCTGTGATTCTGTGATTCTGTGATTCTGTGATTCTGTGATTCTGTGATTCTGTGATTCTGTGATTCTGTGATTCTGTGATTCTGTGATTCTGTGATTCTGTGATTCTGTGATTCTGTGATTCTGTGATTCTGTGATTCTGTGATTCTGTGATTCTGTGATTCTGATCACATCAGAACTTTTTCCTAACAGATGCCAGATAGATTATGCTGATTATCATATCCTGATTCCTCTTTATTTTTTGTTTAATCTCTTCCTAGTAATGTCCCACAACAACAGGTGTACTATCATTACTGCCACATGAGTTCTCCCATGACATTTTAGCTGAACAAATCAATCTCTAGCAAAGTGTATGCTTAAGCACATTATCAATAACTCCACTTAAATCAATACAGCAGCATGCTGTGGCGTGAAGCCAGGCAGAGGTGTGTGCATTGATTCACACCCTTTTAGGCAATGTTTTGTCTGCAGTGTATCCTGGAGAGGTTGCAAAACTGCATGCACAGCCTATTAATATTTTCTTATTGCTTCATTTTCTTACTTTTCTTATTGCTATTGCTATTTTTCTTATTGCTATTAGTGTTATTCATTGTTCATCGCTTGTATCGTAGAAGGTTGTGGAAGGCCCATGTGTAAACCTCTGTAGAAACTTGAAGGAGAAGGATATTTCTGTAATGGGCAGTTTATAATATAATGCAAAACTAGATTCAGCAAATAAGAGCAAATCTCACCTAGGAAAAATGTAAGGGAGAGAAGAGGACTAAACCAGGATTCTAGTGTTGGATTTTTCCCAAGGGAAGGAATGGGTGGTTCTAGCAGCACCCTCAGCAGCAATCACCTTAATTACCTTCCCAATCAGATGTTGCACATACAAGAGTCATTCTGGCTCAGCACCTGTAGATCAGCATGATAAGGAAAAATACCCCATACCCCAGCCACAGTAACAGCATATTTCCTTCAGGATATTTAATCTGGTTGGTAGAGTAACAGAAGGACTTTCTGGTGGCTTCAGGTCCATCTCCCATTCACACAGGCTGGCAGAGTTTCCCTTGTGCGGTCCGTGCCAAGCTGAGGCCGGTGCTCTGCAGTTCCTGCTTCCTCTCCAGCCCCTTTTCTCTGTACTGTGGCCATACAACTGCTCAGACAAAGTGGCTTGCCCCCAGCTTTTGAGTGCCTGTCAGGTCTTTACAGAAAAAGAGGATTACGACCTCCCAGGTGGACCATAACACTGTTGGCTCATTGTTGTTCTGACTATTAAGAAAGAACAGAGAGAGACAAAAACCATTATCTACAGATTCTTGTGTGCTGAGGCATAGTATTTTAGCACAGTAACTCATTCGGAGTACTAGGAAACACTATCTGGTGGCATGAACGAGGCTAACAAGAGGGTGCAGAGACTAGACATGCCCTGCATGGAGGAGTGCTGCTCAGAAATAAGCTACTGCACAAACTCTGGTGAGCCGAGCACCATATGGGTTTATCTCACCCTTTTAGCTTTGGTTTATGTTTACAGAGAATATTTCAATCCTGTCAATGCTTGTTTAGCAACAAATGTTTGCCCACGTGCTCAATGTGGGGCAGGCAGGTTATAAACCATAGTCTTCTGTAAGCAAATTAATAACGTTGTGCTTTGTGGCATCTCAGTAAACACAGCCACGCAGCAAGCTCTTTCTCAAATGCCCACTCACTTTCAAGCCTTAGAAGAGTCCAATGTTCAAGCTTTTGCTGTTGGCCAAGAAAGCTAAGACTATCTCAGATCCTCCTGTGCTCAGGGGCAGGAGCTCTGGGACTCAGAGTTGCCCTGCCACTCACCCAAAGCTCTCTTGGCAACAGCTGGAGGGAGACAGGCATTTCTGAGGATAATTCAGCCCTCCTGGATGAAGTTATTGTCTCAGAAAGTCTTTCTGAAACTATTGCAAAATGTATATGGTACTTCAGAGACTAGGAACAAGACAAGGTGATTTACAGCAAAATGCTGGCCTTGTGATCTGAGCACAATTTGACTCATTACATTGTCCCTCAAGTCTTGCAGGAAAGTCTCCTCTCTTCCTGTTTGGATGACTCAAAACCAGCCCCCTTGTTACTGCATGAACTATGCATATTCCCTGGATAAATATAAAGTTTCATTAGATTAAATCATTTTTCTGGAGAGTTTTTAAAAGCCTAAATAACAGAAACCTAACTAAAAATGTTTCCAAGGCCATATTTGTGGCATTACACTCATCATGTTAAAACTCCTGGATCAGTCTACAGTCTAAGAAAGAACTGCATCTGCTAATATAATGGCTACATTTCATCCCCTGCAGATTTTGCCTTCAGAAATGGGAATGCAGATACATAAACTCCTGAACTCGTGGAAGTCTGTTCATTTCTGACCAGGGGCAGCTGTTAAGTGCCCAGACACATAAGATCGTCACCACCTTTCTTTTGCAATATTTTGAAACACAGAAGATTAACCAGGAATGGTAGTGCTAACTACCTGCATCCCCCTTCCTACAAAGCAGATGTTGTCCCAAAAGAGCAGCCTGCCTTTGCATTTCAGCTGCTACAGGGATTCGTAGTTACAGTTTACAGGAGTGGATGGTCACAGACCTGCTCCAATTCTGTAGTGTTATAATGGGAGATCTTTTCTTGTTCAAGAAATTTGAGTTAAGAGAGTGGATTTAGGAACTCACAAGAAGTCATAAAGAAAAATATTGACATATATCTAGAATAAACATTTCTTTAAGGATTTCCTATTTTCCATTTTCTATACTGCTAGGGCCTGATCTATTTCTGTACAGCTAGAGCCTTTGGAATCAGTGGAAGAACTCCCACTGATTTCATTGAGCGTTAGAACATATCCCACCTGAATTAGAAAAATAGCAATACTTTTTTGTGAGAAGCAATTGCTATGGTACGCAGGAATCACAATTACTAAAGAGAGCTGGTGTGAATCAAAGCCCTGCACAAAACCTATGAAGTCAACAGCAATGTCTACTTCAAAAAGCTCTCAAAACCTCTCTGTCTCCCCTCTTGCACTGTCTTTAATCATGCAATCTTTGAACATCTTTCTTTCATCTTAACAAGAGGGCTCTGCAATTATTTGATGCTTGCAAAGAGGAAATTCACTCTGCAATGTATCATAAAGTAAGGTTGATATTTACCAAGCTAGTAACCTAACTGTTCCTGGCTGCAGATGCTGAGTTGCTTGGAACATATGTACCATGATCTTGGGTTGGTAAAAGACTTCAACATCAATCCTATCACATTAAAGAGGTGGTTGGTAAGTATTTCAAATTACTGATATTTGCACTTTTTCAAATTCAAAAATCAATAAACAAAACATTTAGTCATGGAATTAACTGGACTCACATGAGTCATCCCACTGAAAGCAGTCAGTCTATACAAAATCTTATCATTTAAGTAATTCAGCAAAAGTTTGCATTCTTGTGGTAGCAGATTACATTTTTTTAACTGTTTTACATTTGTTTGCTGAGCTTTCTGTTACTGAGAGCAGTTCATTTCTGGTGAATGCTCTTGATACCTAATGTAAATGGAGACAAGCGTCTTCAGATACGGCTTAAAAAAAGCCAGTATGTGCAATAATCATTAGATGTGCTAAATCACAGGGAGCAAAAAAGCAAGGCAGGAAGGAAAAGGAATTGCTGAGAAGTTAAATAATTTTCTTTGCCTTGGCTTTTATTGTTGAGCATGTTGCAGAGATGCCAGACATGATAAAGATGAGATGATATCAAAACTAAGATGTCTAAAGAAGAAACACTGGAGTATTTAAAATCAGTATGTTGTCAGGTCCAAGGGAGATGATAAGAAAGAATTTGTTAAAAAGCTAAAGGATATATTGGCTTTCTTAGAAAAACCCATCATTTTCCTGGAGAACAGTAGAACAGTAAATATTTTACCCATTGTTTAAAAAGGAGCTAAGGATAACCTGAAGAATTATGGTTAGCAAAACTTACATCTCTACCTGAAAAATTGATTGAAACAGTAAAAACATCATGATGTAAAGTTCATTATACAGATGTTTCATACAATTCCTGTAGCAAGGAATGAATATCTCACTTATCTCTTCTAATTACCTGAAGAGTATGGACAGAATAGAGGGAATTATTTTACATGACTGACGTAGACTCCCAGAAAGGCCTGAACAAATTCCACAAATTTAGAAGGTGGCTAGAAAAGACAAAGCAAAACACTGGATTCATTATATCATGAAGTGCAGCAAGAGCGAAAAGCACCTGGGCACCAGCGCACACAGGGCAGCGACTGTCACTGCTTGGTGTGCTGCTGCAGCTGACGCTAACAAGGCATTAGGCTGATCAGAGACTGGGGTAGGGGACAAAATGGACTGACACTGCCATGTCTCCATAGAAGACATAAGGCTTACCTGGAATTTGTGCCTAGGACTGGTTAAGTCTTTTTAGAAAAATGGTATGACTAAATTAAAGGAGATATAAAAAATGACAGAGACCTAGGAAATCTCTCCCCAAAGAAGGCAGATGAAAAGCTCAGTATTGTTGACCTTACAAAGCAGCTGAACAGAAGGGATGGGATGAAACCCAATACAACCAAGGCTAGCACAGAGTAGATAAAACAGAAAATTTCCTCCTCCTGTCTCACAGCCTGAAAACATGGGAAACAAGGTGGTATGTCAACACACATCAACACACCACCCACATGCATTACTGCAGGCAGCTTCCTGTTAGCTTGTATCTCCAAGTAATTTGTTACCACTAGCATCTACGCCTCATTCTGAGCAACAAGGGGAGTTTATTATGCATTTTCTACAAAGGTAAGACAGGGTGAGATTTCCTTTCTTAAACACTAGCTTCACAGAAAGAAAGATGATTTTTAAAAGCTCCAAGGACGCTGCTGCAAACTATGATACTTCCCCAGGCACAGCATGGGCACCAGTTTGAATTTAAGTGGGTGAGAAAAAGCTACCTCATGCATATGCTTGCTTTCTTGCTCCCACATCCACTGTCTACACAAATGTTCCAGAAAGGGGAGGAAAGGATGACTAATACAACACAGTCACTCCAGCCCTTCAGTGCTCTGAGTCAGGAGTCCCCTGGGATGCTCTGGGCTCCACTGCTGGATGTATACATTACATCTGTGCAGTGTTGTATGGTGCCTGGGCGTGACCATGGTGTCCATGTGGAGGCTGTGAGATACTGCCCACCACCTTTGAGCCTGGCTGTCAACCATGCTGTGTCATTAGTTATTCATTTTAAAATAATGTAATGTATTTCTAAAGGCCTTGCTGCAGAATAATCTGAACAGGTTTTGTGATGAAGCCCCCAAATATTGAATAAGCATTGAAAACCCACAGTTCTCTTGAGCTCATCCAGAGCTGTGAGGTTTCCTAGAAGCCAGGTCCTAGGTTGAAGGGTTTGATCCTGATGGAGCATGAGGACCCTTGAAGTAAATTCACTATTTAGCTGGAGAAGGGAACACAAATTCTGTCCATGTCATTAATTCAGGCTCAGTAACTGAAGCATGTGCATAAGGGCTCTCTAGGGTCCAGGCTACAGGGGATTCAGCAGAAGGGAGTCCGGCAGTGCTGCTGGTGCTTGGCTGTTTTGTACAGGACAGGATACCAGTTGGAAGATCATTGGAAGAATGACCAAGGCATGTGTTAACCCAGCTGTGCCAGCTTCACTCAGCCAGCCTAGCTGACAGTAGCAAGGACACATGGAAAAACAAGCTTTAGCTTGCATTTGTAATGAGGGCACACAGCCAGGATCTGTGGGAAGTTAAAACACACAAAAATCAGCCCCATGTGCCTATAGGGGTAAATCTCTCCCATGCTGCCTAGCGTAGGAAATCCACACAGGTATGCTAGTGCACGTGCATTCACATCTTCACTTTGCCAAGCAACACCTACCGAAGTGCCACCTCTGAGCATTTGCAAATGGAATAACATCTACATTTCAGCTTTGATGATTTCAAAGCTGCAATTTGCATTCAGCAAGAAAGAGGAACGGGGATGTGCTTTCAGTTCTTTACACACCCCAAAGTCATCGTTTAACCACCTCATGGTTTGAAATACAAATTCAGAATGAGAGCACAGAGTCCTCTCTCAAGACTGAGGTGCATCTGCAGCTGTGCTGGGATGTTTACCCATTGCTAGCTGGTATGAGAGAGAAGTTGCTACGAGCTTTATCTGCTGACAAATTCTTGAAAGGTAGTAATCTCCCACCCTTCCTCAGGAAGGCAGAGAGTGTCAGAGGGTCTTGTGCTGTCACTCTGTCCCGGTAGAAAATAATACTAGACTCCATAGGACTCCTGTAGGGATACATCGTGCTTCCAGGGAGGCTGGGAAGCATATGTAACCATGTTTTTCTAAAGAGCTCTCCTGTCTCTGACTGCTTCATTCCCTCTCTCTGCAGCTGTGTATTCATGACAATTACAGAAACAATCCTTTTCATAATTTCCGGCACTGCTTCTGCGTGACCCAGATGATGTACAGCATGATCTCACTCTGCAGCCTCCAGGTATGCCTCCCCACCTCAATAGTGTCACTCCATTTCCATCATGGGGCACATGTTCCTCCCACTGAGCACCACGACACCTGTGCCTCTTTTCTTGCAAAACAAGCCACCAGCTTGCTAGCAAATGATGAGCTTTGCAGTAGCTGCACTTGTTCAGTCCCTGAGGGGAGCAGGAGAGGTGTTGCATTTCCACCTCTGGCTCCCCACTCAACCACCCCATCCCAGACCTCAAGTACCTGCACAGCTTTCTGAGGCTGTGGGACGATACCTTCATCTCCTGGATACCCCCAGTTTGTATAGTGAAGATCTGTTGGCACTCTGATAGCATGAAACATCTATGAATCAGATCCAAAAGCCTACTGGATTCTGGATTACAGTCTGTGGATACGGTCTTCATCTGTGACACAAAATGTTCCCACAAGAGGTTTTCTCCACATGTGTCCTTTCACCTGGGTGAGCTACTGCAAATAATGCCTTGCATGTGCTGAATGCGAGATTCACATTTGACCTGTACTTTGTGCAAAACTATAGGCATAATTTCTTTTCATTGTCTGGAGAACCTATGTTTATGTATTAATTTTATTTCTGTACAAACCAGATTTTATTCAGTTAAAAAAACCCTTTCTTCTCCATAGTTAAACATCTCAGTTACTGGCTTAAGTCTATTTTCAAGCAGACAAAATTAAGAAGAAAAACTTGTTTTAATGGAGATTCATCCTATTCAGAAGCTGTGGGAATGCAACACTTAATTTTTCTCACTCTTTTCATAACTTTAGTTAATGCAGAATGCAATGGCAACTGAGCTATCTTCCAGCCCTCCCTTAACTAATCAGGATGCTCAAATGACTTGTAAGAGACTGTACTAATATCTCAGTGTTTTTATATGATCCCTGCAGTAATAGCAAGTTTCAAGCAAATTGCTTCCTCTGAGCTGCTGTTATTTAATGAAACAAAGGCAAATCTGAGTCATTTTTACTGGAAGGGAAGGCAGAATTATCTTTCTTGACTGAAGTAAATTAATCTATGGAAAAAGATTTCATTTTGCTCAGATTTGCATTTCTCTAAAAAGTAAATGTGGGTGGTCTTTTCACTTCTTTTCATTTATGAGGATAGGGGAAGTAGAAATAGTAATGGTACATTAATATTTTGTATTTTACAGGAGAAATTCTCGCAAATTGACATCTTGATTCTCATGACTGCAGCAGTATGCCATGACTTGGACCATCCTGGCTATAACAACACGTAAGTCTGTCTCTTGCTTTCTCTTCCTTTAAAATTTCTTGGGAAGGTAATACCAGCTGGCATTTTTGGTAGATCAGGTTTTCCTTTGCACAGCTTGAGCTGGCCACGACCTTCCCCAAAGGCCCTGCTGTTCACTCACACGTGGGCCAAGGCAGAGCTTCATGCAGAAAACTCAGATCTGGGTTGAGGTTGCCAGCTGTCCTTGGCTCTGTAAGGAAAATGCTTTTTCAGATTTCTATTCCAACATTTTTCGCCACTCCTGTGAAAACAAGGTAAAATGTTTTAGAGCTGAGGGAGAGGGCATAAATTATTATAGCTTCATTGACTGACATGGAATAATTACACCGAAAGGCAAAAGGTGATTCAACTTACTCATTATTTCATAATTATAAATCATGAAGTGTATATTATTCTATTTATTATCCTGTGAAGAAATTAGAATGGCTGACCCATGGACACTTTAGTGTGCATGTATGTGTGTGTGAAAAAGAGAGAGAAAGAGAATCTAATTTATTTGCGGCCATTCATTAAACAAGGGCAGAACCCAATTGTAACTGGGATCAGTGAGAATCTCTTGGTTGACATTAGTGAGGGCTGAATGAAGCCCAGATAGTTCCTTCTGTGTTTGTTCTATGTCATTTTAAGCTACAGAGAGTTGGTAAAATTTGGAAAACAAACCAAAACCAAACCAAACCAAACCCTACAGGGAAATAGTGCCTGAGATTATATTAAAGTAATATCTATCATCTTCTCTAAAAGTCTGATTTCATATTAACAATGGAAAAACAAACTGCAGCTAATTGAATAAGTATTGAAAAGAATGTAAATAAAAGTAAGCAGCATGGGTTGGAGCAGCTGGTGTGTGTCTGCAGGAGTTCTCACTGTTTTTCTTCACATCAGCTATCAGATAAATGCACGAACCGAGCTTGCAGTGCGCTACAATGACATCTCCCCACTGGAGAACCACCACTGTGCTGTGGCTTTCCAGATCGTTTCCCAGCCAGAATACAACATTTTCTCCAACGTCAACCAGGAGCAATTCAAACAGATAAGACAGGTATGAACGCTGCTCCCATCTATGTCGTACAAACTGTTCCTGAAGATGTAAGCACCAACAGACTTCCCCGCTGTACAATGCGAATGATTCATTCTCCCTAGAGGCTAGGACTGAAAAAGCCCCTCACACTGCAAGGATCCAAGAGGGATTCTTGGAAAATTTCCACAGCAGCACTCCCTGGAATGTCTTGCTGAGAAATAATGAGTACATCCTGACTATTAAAGCCCAAGACATTTTTGGGGGGTAGATATTTTTATTATTGAAGAAACCAATTAGCTCTGACTGGGAAAGGATTAAGCTCTCATGGCAGAAGTTTATGCTTTAAGGGAATGTTGTATTAATTTTAAGAGGGGCTTCAAAGTGGGAAAAGATTTACAACAGCAGAGTACTGGTACTGTTGAAGAGGCTCTGGTGGACTGGGAGTTACCACAGTTATCTCCGAGACAGTGAACAATGCTACCATTCCCATTAGAGCACTAGGGGCCAAAATCTGGTCTTAGTTTCCAGGTTACACCTTCCTTACACAACAAATGAAAATGCAGACCAATATAAGGGCTCAGATACCAGTAACTCAAGGTTGGAGTTATTGATTCTGCCAGTGTATGTGAAGTAGGCATGGGCCCAAAATGGATAGATCTGTATGAAAACCCACAACTTTAAATTAACCACGTTTTACCATCGTAAACTCTGCCTAGCAGGCAGATACAGAGCTCCTAACACACTGGCTGCATCTGGGTATTTCAAGGCCCTGAATCCAAGGAGGATGAGAACAGAGGGCATCCACATCTACTGATCTTTGTCTCTTCCTAGGGCCACTAAGAGTCAGAAGCAAAACCTATAGTGCTTTCCAAGGAGCCAAAAGTGGATCTTGGCAAACAGCGTGACTTTTAAAATCCTGTTGTACAGTTTGTTTTTCCACAATTAGTCAACTGGAAAGGAAAAACCTCAACGTCTCTTGAATATTACATGAGTATTACAGATCCAATCATGATCTTCATATACTATGAATTCTTTATAACCCTCTTCCAGTTTGCTTGGCAGTTTCAAGTCAGAAACTTCCCCTTTCAGTGTGAACAATGCAAGGTATCCGAGACTTTTTGTGTGTAAGAAAGACCCCACTTTGCTCTGCAATAGTAGACGTTGTAAAGAATGACAAGTTAATATGTGAACATGTTTTCTTTGCTAGGGGATAATTACGTTAATCCTGGCTACAGACATGGCGAGACATGCAGAAATACTGGACTCTTTCAAGGAAAAAATGGAAAATTTTGATTACTCCAATGAAGAACACATGACCTGTGTAAGGATTTTTTGTAATTATTATTTTCCTGTGCAGAGTGTGAAAGCTTGTAGATTCACATTCGTTTGTTTAAAAAACAAGATTCAATATACATTATCAAGAACTAATCCTTTCTGCATCCTCTGCCCCACCAAGAAGATCTAAAATTTGGAAGTGTTCTATATAAAATAGATTATTCCAGCTTTAGAAATCTTGGTGTCCCATCAAGAAAAAATTTATTTATCCTGTCAGGATACAAATTCTTATTGTCCATCACTATGGGGCAAAAAGTATCAACAAGTATCCTCTACTTCCTAATCCAGTCATCTTTGACATCCAGGGAAACCTCTTCCCAGCTGCCTCTGAGTGCTCTACAAACAACTTCATGGTCATTTGTGGTTGAATATCTTCATGCAGCAGATAAGTGCATGTCCCACTGTGACACATCCCAGTGCTACAGACAGGGAAACAGAGGCAGAGAGGGGATAAGTGATTTACACAAGGTAACTGAGAGAGTGGAAAAGAATCCAGATCATTTAAGACCTCTGATTTAATCTGTTTGAAAGCATTGCCTCCCATTGCACTGCAAAGACACAGGTTCTGGATAGGGGGAAAAGGGCTGGCAGTATGACTGCAGTGTTGAAGTATTATCCTCTTTCAGCTGAAGATGGTCCTGATAAAATGCTGTGATATCTCCAATGAAGTCCGCCCGATGGAAGTAGCAGAGCCCTGGGTAGATTGCTTACTAGAAGAATATTTTATGCAGGTAAGAATGAGGGAGAGATGCAGTTGCACAGATTGCTGCTCTTCCTGAATCCCACCTTAGCTACAGGTGCTCTGCTGTCTGACAGCCCAGTCTAGCTCTAGGATGGAAAGGCTTCTTTTACAGAAAGCAGGAGAAGGATGTCAGCAAGAAAAGCTGTTCAGAAAGCAAGTGAATGCAATTGACTGTAACTTGGAGCTGAAAGACAGTAGCAACCTCAAAATCCTAATGCTAGCAAGACTGAATCTTGTTCTCTGTAAAATGGCTGCCTTGCAAGTTCATTTGACATATAAATCATTTTTGAGTCAAAAGGGCAAGAGAAAGTTGTCAAGTAAATGATATCAAATATCACACAGCAACTAGTTTAGATAATTTTCACTCTGTGTGAATGTTTCCTTAAAGAGAAAGCAGACAACTTGCTGAGGTGTGCAAAGTCAGACTTTAAGCTCCCTGACCATTGCTCCTTACTGGATTCCCAGCTGAACTGGGAATCAGTTTCTGATTGCTTAAAAAGGATCTGTGGAAAAGCAGCCTTCAGCTGCCTCCAGCACATGGGCTCCTGAACAGTGTGTGTGTGCTGCAGTAGTGGGATCTCAAGAAACACACAGCTGCAGTGCTCTGAGGAGGAGATGCCAGAGCTTTCATGTGTGTTTTTTCTATACACTGACAAGGGTGCGTGCTGAGGAGGGCTCCTCACAGGAGACAGACACCCTGGATGATGTGTCAGAAACACTCCTTGCTCATTGCATCTGCAGCTTGTTATTCAAAATGACAGTATCTGTGTGCCTTGCTGTTTTGGCCACCCAGCAAAAGCACTGTGTGCTGCAAGACCCAATACCTGAGAGAGAAAGTCTGCCACAGAATATCGTTTTTGCACACACTCTGTGACCTCCTTGCACATGAACCCGCATAGAAACAGTGAGTTATGTGGTCAAGTAGCAGCTTGGTAAACTCATTGCAGTCAATGGAACTGTTCTTCATTGACCCAGCTAGCCAGAACTGGTTTTAATCATTAGTAAAGAAAGAGATGTAATTTCTGGTTGAATACCTGAAAATAATCACTCTCTGGAGAATGATGAGGAAACCAAAGACCTATTCCTTCTTCCAGAGCAGCAAAAGCCATTACCACCTTTCTGAATGCTCAGGAATATTTTCCTCACAAGTCCCATGGCTTTGCAAAGGGAACCAGGTGGCCTTATGGTCCTGTAAGCCTGGAGGTGAACGTGTTCATGCCAGTACTGTGCAGATGTTACTGAAGAGAGTTCTCTTTATTCAGATGCTTGCTCTCAACAAAGCAGGACACGTTGACCTGAGGGAAGCATATTGCTATTCTGTGCTGTCTTCAGACACCACTGAGACCTGTATCTGAACGCTGCTACTCTTTAGCTAGTGATCTACTTGGTATGTTACTCTCCTCACAGGCTTCTAGCCAAGATTAATATTTGTTGACTCGGGATTTGTTTCAGAGCGACCGAGAAAAATCTGAGGGGCTTCCAGTGGCACCGTTCATGGACCGTGACAAAGTGACCAAGCCAACAGCACAGATCGGCTTCCTGAAGTTCGTTCTCATCCCCATGTTTGAAACAGTAACAAAGGTAAGTCACCCAAGGCCAGAAGGAGAAGTGGGGGCATGCAGAGCTTCAGCGATTGCTCCAACAGACGTTAAGTTTGCCAGGGAAAGGGGGATGTACAGTTCACACTCTGCCTTTCAGACCATTTCTAGCACGTACAGGTGAACAAATACAAAAGGAAATGTGGCTATTCTCTCTCTTGTTTTCACCTAGCTATTTCCAGAAGTGGAGGAGGTGATGCTCCAGCCCCTTTGGGAATCCAGGGACCGCTATGAGGAATTAAAACAGATAGATGATGCTATGAAAGAGGTAAGCTCTAAATATCTTATTGATAAAGCGGATGTTATGATTAAGTCAAACATTATAATGTAATAGCAGTTTAATTCCAAAACAGTAGGAATGCTTATGGCATAATCGATATAATGAAAAACACATTGATTACACTTGTCTGGAGAAAGGCATGTACCAGAAGCAGTAAGCGTGGGCAAGAACAGGCCCTTGCAGAGTCCACCAGACACCACACAAGCACGGTCCCAGGAGGGGAGCTGCTTGCTTGAGGGGGATCTGGAGACTAAACCCAGAGATAACCACCTAAGGGGAGTGTGGCAGTAAACACCTCTCCCAGGAAGGAATTACACTCCCCCCAGGGAAGGAGTAAGCCTGGGCTAGACTGCAGCAAAATGTCCTGGGGTTGGGCAGCTCAAGGCACTGCACCACCAATGCATAAGTTTCTTTTATAGGAAGAAACTTCCACTGACATATCTATCATCAAGGATGCGCCTGAAATTTTATGAGGAATTATTCTCACACACACAGCACCCAGTAGGATTAGACACACAACCAATTAGGACATTTTATAGCCCAGGCTGAATGGGGTCCTCCATTTACAGAGGACTCTCATTGTGACATGTAAGGCTTAGGGGACATAGGATATAGATGTAACCATGTTTGCTGTCTCCAGCCACGGCTGCTGTGGCATTGCCTGCCAGGGCAGAGACTGAGGCCAGGCCCTGGGAGCAGGTGCCCCACACCCACAGTGCAGCAGCCGGCGTGCTGGCCCGGCTCCCGCAGCGCCCTGCAGCCTGTGACACTGGGCCTGCACGCCTTTCTGGCACGCCTCTTCAAGTGCTTCTTTACAAAACCTGCCCAAGTGGCATCACAGTGTAGGGGTTTTCTGACATGAACAAATTTATCATGTAGACAGGGTACGATCAGTCACTCTGTCATTAAAATAAATGGGGAGGTGCCCTGGAGCATTAGTTGTACTGATATTGTTTTGATAGGCTGGAAATGAAGGTTCATTCACTTGATCATCCCCGGCTGGATGAGGGGAATAGTAGCTTTCTGGTGCACCTTTCCCACCTCCTCCCAAGTGCTTTGGAGCAGCACAAATACTAAGTCTGGTTAATCAAAGAGAATGTGCTTTGAGGGCACTAAGTTACAAAGGAGAAGAAAGTCTTTTTTTCTTCACTTTACAGTGGAGCTTTTATCAAAGGAAGGAAGAAGAACTCAAATATGACTGCCAGAGTTTCTGAGTCTTATTCTTCTTTCAAGTTGAGCTGAGATTTTACTTCTGGTTTATAGAAGCAGTCAAAACAGAAATTTTATACAAACTGATGGAGCTTTAATTATGGTGTATTGGCACAAGAGGTCTTAGGAAAACAGGAAATGCCTGAATTCAGAAATATCTTGAAACAAGAGGAGTTAGTCAATAATCCGAGAGCCTAGCACAGCAGATGATGAAAAAGATTGAGTGCTGTTTACTAAGGACGTACATCCAGGGATGTTTGGATGAAAAGGTGCCTGTACCAAGCCGCTGCTTATTATTTCCCAAGAAATGTGGTACATGCCTTGTGCAGGGATGAGCGTTTGACTCACAACAGTGGTGGAAAGCAGCACTGTGTGACTCAGGGGTATTAATCCTGCTTTGTTCTTCATTTCAGTTGCAGAAAAAGAAAAGTGAAAGTTTGACCACCGGCAGTACCGAAAAGTGAGACGGAAAAGTCTTTGAGCAAAACACAAACCCTAAGGTTGTTCTGTTTTTGAGAAACGCTGTATTTGCCAAACAGACCTGGTGGCTACATCAAAATCCAACTGGGACCATGTATGTGGAGAGGTGGCAGGCACAGATGTCCTGCCTGCCCAGGCATCTTGTCTACAGCCTGCAGCCTGCTCACACAGGCGCTTCCGCCGGGCACCAAGGGCTCCCCTCGCTCCGGCATGTCCATCGCAGCCCCCCTGGCAGGACCTTCCCTGTGGACATTGCACAGGGTGAACCATAGCTCAAATCTTCAGCAGATTTGCTTTTTTGGTGACCACACTGACCACAGTCTGTAGAGACAAAGCGGAGTTTGGCTAAGGAGCCTGTTCTGGAAAATGATCCACTGGCATCCAAGGCGAAAGAAAAAGTGGTTTTAGTCAAGATACTATATATGTGCGTACAGCAGTGTGCTAATTGCAGCATAGCTTAACAGATGCTTATATTCTGAACAAGGGTCCTGGCATATATTTTTGTTTGCCCAGTAGGCCCTAACGACACATTTCTCTGTATTATTCTCCGAATTTTATAGCGTTCACAGTACATTCAGAAGCCCAGCATAGTGGATGCAATTTTGTTGTTGTTTTCTACACTAGAAGAAATCAGAAGAAACCTTAGCGAGTTTGCAGGTTTGCTTTGTGGCCTCATACAGTGAGACATCGCAGGATGCTTCAGCATGAGCAAAGAAGGGAGAACAAAGCTGAAACCACTGTGCAAGCATATTTTTATCCTCATGGGTGCAAAAGCAACAAGAAAATCCTTTAAAGATGTACAGAATTTTTTTTTTTTTACTTTTAAACTGATCTGCTAAATAATATATTCTTCTACAGAAATGGGTGTTGTACATGTGTTCACTTGCGTGTGTGTTCAAGTGAGAACTGTCTATGTTCCTGAAGACAAATGCTTTCATAATGAATACAAGGAAGGGGGCTGTAAAGGAGAGGGGAGGGTCGGTTCTCTTTAGGAGGAGAAGCTTGAGGAACATTTTTTGTGGTATACTTGCATCACAAACGCAGTACTGACAGACCTTCACTTCCCTTGATGACTTTGTAAAGGCCGGGAGCTGGGCTCCGCGTGGAGTTGCAGTCATGCAAACGAGCAGCAGGCAATGCTGTGATCAACCCCTCTGCACCATGTCTCCAAAGGAGAGGCCGGGAGAAATCCCCCTTCCTTCTGCCCACAAGAGGCGAGCCACAGCCATGCTGCTCAGCCACTCCTGGTTTCTCCCACCAGGGAAAGGTTGCCCTCCTGGGGTTTTCAGCAGTTCCTACCATGGCATGGCTGCCAAGACCGGTGATTGGCATGCACCCTGCCTTGCTGGCATCCCTCCCCGGCAGCCATAGGCATGCAGCCAGCAAAGCATCATGCATGTTGCTCCTGTCTTCCTTGGCTCAGTTCCCAAGGCTGTCCCGTCAGCTTCGCTAGGAGTGTTAGCACTGAGGGTAACACTACTGCCATGCTTCTGCAAAACCCAAAGCCACATGCGTTGTCTTAGCTCGTTTTTCAAAAAGAGATGAGCAGGTCAGGGCCAATCTTTCCCCCCATGACCCAGGACACACCTCAGGAAGCTCAGGCTCTCTGGCAAGTGCCCGGTGCCAAGCTCACCACTGAACGACAAACCCTGCCTCCTGCTCTGGGAATTCAGATTTATTCTCCTGTTATTTCTGCACATTAATTCTGAGTTTAACTCTTGCTTCCCTGCCAGTGCCATTTCCCACTTTTGGTATGTTTCTTTTGTATTACTCTGTTACTTCGCTGCTCTCCAGTCTCTCAGGGATATCAGTATTACCTTGAAACATCCATCCCTCTGCCCTATTCCTGCTTGCACATTTCCAGAGAGCCAGGACAGACCCACAGCTTGTTCTCTCTGCTGCTGCCTCTTTCTGCCCAAGCTGCCTTTGCCTTTAAGCAGCTTTGTGTGTGTGTGCTTTTGGGCTTTCTGCTGCAAACTGGAAAAGGGTCTGATCCCTGAATTCGGACAGTCCTGGGGGACCACAAGGGAGGTGGGAAGATCCAAGCACAGGGTCAGGTCCAAGCTGCACAGACATCTTCATGAACGGATGAACCAAATCCTAGTTTTGATTAGCCTCAAACTTTTGATGCTCGAAAGTTGGGTCTGAAGTACATGGTTTGGGCCTGTTCTCTGTAGTAAATCTTATAATCCAAAGTACATTGTGACCCAGATTGTTCTGCTGTGGAATTCTGCACTTCTTTTTCACAAGTAAATCAAATTTACCATCTCCATTCAAGTGGATTTCCATCACAAATCAGCTCCCAAAGCAGATGTGCTGTGCAGCAGCTATAAACAATTGCTCAGGATATGCCAAGTCCTGCATCGAGCTAGTTACATTAGATGAGAAAACCTGCTGTAGGAACTTGACTGCACCCTCCTCCCACTAAAACTGTTTAAGAGTTAGATACTGATAGGAAGTTTTGTTTCAGTTGGAAGGATTTTCTCTAACCATAAACCCTAATCCAACAAGTATTTATGCATGTGCTTAACTCCCACAAGCCCATTTATGGGCCCTGGCGTACAGTAGTTAATTGCATTAGCTCCTCAGCTTTCTCTAATTGAAGTGCATTGGAGCTGGAGAATTGATGACCCTCGGTGCTTGTTTTGGCTCCATCATTTTTTAAAGAGCAACCCAAAAACTGTTTACTGGAGAGAGATGATCAAAAGATGTTGGTGAAATCCTGCTGGATTTATTGGAGCTGTGTTAGAAACATGGAGAAGGGAATGCAACCCATCCTCAGGGCTGCACTGGTGACTGTCATGATGCTGTAACGCACTCTGCGGCTATTGAAAGAACAGGCAACATCCAGGCTGCTTTTCATAGACAGCTGTAAAAAAAGACCACGTGCAATTGCAAGCAGCTATTGGTATAAAAGGGAATACCACAGTATTTTTTAATCTCATTTGCCTTTGTAATACTAGATTTCTAAGGGACGATCCTCCTAGCATATGTTTAACCAAGGGGAATGCAAGGCATTCTCTCATAATTCTAGTTTCTTATACTTTTTCCATAATATTTGACACTGTGATTCATATGCAAATTAACATATTTGAGAATCTGGGCAGTCAGCCCATTAAAAAGTCACATATTTTCAGCGTGACATTTTAAAGCTACACTTAGCATGAAAATGAAGTCCTTTGAGGCATCCAGACAGATGTCTCAAGTGTGATTTAATCTTTTCTCTCCCTAATCCAATGAATAAGAGTGAATATTATATCTCAGCATTGTTGGTTCAGCTTACGGTAGATGTCTTACAAAGAACTTTCTATGATCTGTTGCACGCCTCTTTTCATCATTAGGACAGTGCTACATGCATCCCAGCCTTACATTGCTACTCCTATGCTTATGTTCAAAGATGAATATAAACCAGGTTATAACAACTCCATGCCATTTAGCTTGGAAAACTAATGATGAGCCCTGGGATTTTCCTTCTTTTTTTTTTTAAACTATGAGATCCCACAGCCCCAGACTCACTTCATTTTTTAGTATGGCTTTCATAATCGGCTCCAACTAAGGCTATAGTATAACTGCATGTCTTGGGAAAGAAACTGCTTTTTAAAAATGTGAATAACCCCACAGCAGCCAATTTGCAATGAAAATTTAGTGTGTGTTAAATACAAGGGTTATGTAATGCCAAAGAAGTATCTGTACGTGGAACTTGTTAATCTCAGTGCTGCCTCTGAGCAGCAATAACAGCAACTGTTCCATATGGGAGTGAAGCAGAGTGCTGGTGCAGAGTAAGAGCCCATCAGGAGAAGCACTGTCAAGCAATACTCAATCTTCCTCTTTGAACAGTGGCCTTTTACTGCAAAGTGCCCCTTCTATCTGGAAACACCTGAAGAACAAGTCTTATCTTTCTGTCTGGTTTGTGGTAGTAAAAGTACACACGCACACACACTTCTTTTTATCCTCCTAGTATATTGTTCTGTTTTATTGTGAAGATTTGTGTGAGAGAACAGACACAGCAGGGCAAATCAGCTACCACACCAAGGTAAGAATCTCCCCATATTTGCTTCTTTCCCACACTATCATCTCCTTGATTTCCCTGTGGCGAGGTGGGGTATAAAACACAGCAACATGCCTGTTAGTGACAAGGAGCACTCAGCCCCAGCCTGCAGGAAGGATGTATGTGAAAGGACAGCTCTGATGTAGGGCCTGGAATCAAGCCACATCCCAGATCCAGGCTGTGGTCCAGAGGACACCAGGCAGCTTCTGCCCTCCTGAGCCACCCCTCTGTATGCATAACCCTCTGCCATGCAGCACCCTTGTGACTAAGGCTGTTCAGCATCGGCAAAGTGGAGCATACACTTTCTAAAGAGTGTTTAGAACTACTTGGATGCTGCTTTTCTAGGCAATATGGCAGTGCAGCAGGCAATCTCTCTCTCAGCTCTCCAGGGGAGTGCCCAGGCAGAGGTACAGTTTGTACTCTGGAAAACTGGTGCAGTGGAGTCCTGGTCTGTCTGTGGGTGCTATGACAGAACAAGAAACCAGTAATTCTTAATAATAAACCTATCTCTGCCACTGGCTTCAAATACTACTCGGGACAAGTCACTGAGCCTGGGCTTCCCTCTCCTTTCAAACAGAGACCCACCTCTGTGAAGCACCTTCTGATATTCAGATGTAACGTGCTCTTCAGTGCAAGAACTGAGTTACTATTTTCTGAAAGTATGACTTCATAGTAACTTCTAGCCAAAAAACTTATTAGATGTTCTCATAAATTAAGAACCTGTAACCAACAGTCACATCTCTTTCTTTGTGATCATGTTGTAGTAGATCTGACTCTTTGCTAGGTGTGAAGCCATACTTCTCACTCTCTCACACACAAAAAAAGCTTTCTGACTATTTTGGCATGTAATCAGGAATTACAGGTGTACTCAGGCACATGCACACACACAGAATGGCTATCTGTAGACATTTTTATAATACCGCTCTTGGCTCTGTT